TCTCTTTCCCTCCCTCTCCCTCCCTCCCTACACTTCTCCCTCTTTCTTCCCCTCCCTCTATCTCCTTCCCTCCTGCTCTCTATAAAGGCTATAAAGATATGGAAAAACCCGTGAAAGATTGACTCTCAATAAGATGTGACTGTTTTTTCGGAAGCCATCTTGTTCTCTGTTAGCTGCAGTGGTACAGAAGCAGATGTACTATTTGAGGTCCCCCTAGACTCCAAGTAGGAAAGTGGAAAACATGATTAGTTTGCCTTTGCCCAGCTTTGGCTGGTCTTCTGATGATGGTATAACACAATTCGATTCACTCTTATTCAAACAGTTCCGCTAAACAAACCAACACAGTCATGCTTTTCATTAGAATTCTTCCCTGCGGGAGAGGTTTCTATGGCTGTCAGGCCCCCATGTCTTCAAAAAGGGTGGTTTGTTTTTTTTAAAAAAAAAATTTAAAATATTTTACGTTGGAATAGATCATGCTAAAGGTTTCTTTCGTCATTTCTCTACTTTGGGAAATAGAATCTGAATTGAGAGCATGACGTTCGCTTGATAAGGTTAATACGCTGTGTTTCTTCTCTCTCTTTCCAGATATTGAAAAATATTACTTGGTACTCAGAACGGGTGCTAACAGAAATTTCACTGGGGAGTCTTCTGATTCTTGTCGTAATAAGGACCATTCAGTACAATATGACAAGGACGAGGGTAAGTTTTGTAGCTGAGATTTATGTCAAGTAGAATAGATATTTCATTTTCTGCAGTGGCAACCAAAGTTCCTAACAAAAGCTAATACTGCATTCCTTCACGAAACAGTAAAAGCCTGCGGAATTTTCTCTTTTTTTTTTGAAGAACTAAGAGAGAAAGAGATCTCAAATGAAACCCCAGTGTTGTATTACTCTAGAGCAGGGGGTGGCCGCTTTATGACCTATGGACTTCAACTCCTAGAATTCACAAGCCAGTTGGCTCAGAAATTCTGGGAGTTGAAGTCCATAGCTCATTAAGGGACCATAGTTCCCCACCCCTGCTCCAGCGAGTTGAAATAAATTAAAATGAAGAAGAAAATATGGGGTTAGTAACCAAAACACCAGAGTTGATCAAGAAGTAAAAAAAATACAAATGCTCAAACTTTAGCAACTTATTTTTATCCTTTCTCATCAAATACGACAAAGCTATCTTACACAACTAGGCCTGCAACATGCAGAGTGGGTTGTGCTGTCTGGTGAGGAGCCATACTCCTGTCTTTGCTGCAAAGTAATAAATAATGGCTAAAGTAAAGGTTTGTCATCTGAACGATTGTCAGTCCCATTAGGGGAGACCAGACCGAGAAATCAACTCCATGGCAAAGGCCAAAACTACTTTTATTGCGAGGGGCTATAATAAACACAATCGGAATCTTTTACCAGATTATGAGGATTCGCTTCCTTTTTCTGGAGGCTTCCGTGCGGCCATTAACAGAGTAAACTGGACAACCACTGACTGGGCTGGTCTAAGGCCTCCTGGCTTGATCAGGGGATTGGACTAGAAGAGCTCTGTGGTCCCTCCCAGCCTTATGATTCTAAGTCTGATTGAGCTGTACCTCAGTGAGGAGCTGTGGTGACGCAGTGGTTAGAATGCAGTATTGCAGGCTAATTCTGCCGACTGCCAAGAGGTTCCATCCTAACTGGCTTCAAGGTTGACTCAGCCTGCCAGCCTTCTGAGGTGGGTAAAATGAGGATCTGGATTGTTGGGGGCGATATGTTGACTCTGAAAGAGAAAGCTGCAAAGCACTGTGAAGCGGTATATAAGTGTGTGATTGCTATTGCTTACTACTACTACTATTACTACTACTACTACTACTACTACTACTATTTAGAATTCAGTGAATTACGGAGGTATTTGTTTGAGCCACTTCCAGTTGTCATCAGGCTATTATTAAAGATAAAATATATTTTATCCCTTGGCAACAGAGCTGGCATAATTTTATCGATGTCATCTTTATAATGCTATGCAGGTAGACTTTTGACAAACAATTGATCATGACCATTCAATGCTATGACAGACATTTGTGGGGGGAGGGTACCTATGATCCAAATTCAAATTTCCGATGGCTGCCCTCCCACCCAACCCGCAGTCACCTGACTGCAGTTTGTACACTTGGCAAATGGCCCACATTTACAATCTTTGCAGTGTCCCTGGTCACGTGATCGCGTTTTATGATGGTTTTATTTAAAAAAATGACATTTAGCAATAGCACTTAGACTTATATCCCACTTCACAGTGCTTTCCAGCCCTCTCTAAGCGGTTTACAAAGTCAACTTATTGCCCCCAACAGTCTGGCTCCTCATTTTACCCACCTCGGAAGGATGGAAGGCTGAGTCAACCTTGAGCCAGTCAGGATCGAACTGCTGGCAATCAGGAGATTAAGTCTGCAATACTGCATTCTAATCAGGACTCCTACTTTTGGTTTTGGGCAAAACCAGCCCATAACAAACCATTGGTTCACTAAATGACATCAAAAATGGATGATAAAATTGTGCCAATCACGTGGGCAGCTCGATTTACGGCTGTCACAACTTACAAGCAGAATAAGCAGGCTCCATTACAGTAGTAAGTTGACAGCTACCTGTACAACAGTGTGATGACCCAGGGTGGGATACAAAACAAACACAGTCACAGAAAACAGGTGAAGCCCCTTTTATTCCTTCACTTTGCTTCCAAGCTCCGAATATCTTTGACAGAAGACAAAAAAAACTCTCACACAGTTACATGAAGAAGGAAAAAAGCAACACAAACCAGGCAAGATAAGGGCTGGAGGACATCCATAGATAACACACACTGGGAAGGATGCTAAACTTAAGAGAGGAACCATAAACTAGAGATATTTCCAGGCTTTGTTTCCAGCGTTCGCCCGTTCGCAGGTCTGTACCCTTATTCAGTTGTCACAGCTGCAGCCCATGAAGAGGATCAAGGCCCTCTCCTCCCGAGTAGACCACGTCTCTCCCTTATCCTCTCCTCCCTACGTGCCCTAGGATGGATAGGGGATGGGCCTGGGTCCTCCTCTGACTGCTCAGACGGCCTCTGCCCTTCCCCAGCCTCCTCCACAACCTCCTGAGCCACACTTCCACTCCCTGTCGGCTGTTCCTCCTCTCCCTCAGAGTCAGTCTCCACCAGGGGCATGACGAACAGTAAACCTGTTGGCATTGTGGTGGGAAGTTTATGGAATAGTATTCTATATGGGATTTTATGTTTCAGAAAGTGACTTCTATAGTACTAGTTTAAGTGAACCTCTTTTATGTGGAATAGTGTGTATCAGTTTGTAAGTAATATGGGAAATATAAGCCTACATTTTTCAGGGGAGGTAAGCTCATTTCCAAATAAAGTAAACAATTAAATCTTGAAATAGAAGAAGAGCTACTTTACTTTTAAATTTTGATCAGCACTAATGAACTTAGCAACTCCTCCATAAAAGACAATTAGCCTATTGAGCTAGGATGACTTAAGCTATCAATGAGGCTGGGCCCTCAAATCAGAACACACAGCCTTGCCTTGTTTTTATTGCAACTCTGCCTCCAGTAAACAGAAAAGACTAGCAAATTATTTCCTTTTGACAGGCCTTGCAGTGTACAGGAAGGATAATCTGATGTGTGTGTGTGTGTGTTTTTCCCCCCATCTCATCTCCAACAGGACAAATACCTTCATACAAATTGCCTGGCAGCTCTAGCCAACATGTCCGCACAGTTCCGCTCCCTTCATCAGTATGCCGCGCAGAGAATCATCAGGTAAATGCAAGTCTTGTACAGAATAATTCCACTAAGTTTTGTTTTCAGTACTGCAGGAAAGAGACTCCAATCCCTAAATTTAAATATTGACCCTGAAGTTCTGTTCAGCTTCACGGCGTCTAGAGTAAATGTTTACGGATGGTATGGATGGCAAACATTAATATTGCTTACTCTGAGAAAAAAGCAAGGAAGGGGTAACGTGTTAGGAAAAAGAGATGCTTAGTCAGTATTGAATAAATGAATATATTATTGAGTTACATGAAATAAGTGTGATTGTTATAGATGCCTATGAAACAAGGGTTCTACGATAGCAGTTATTTGTGATTATATGAAGTATTTTATGTGGATTGATGAAGCTGCGTGATGTCCCTTCTCAATATTTAAAAATTCAGTTGTTTTTGAGGAATTTTCTTTACGTGATTTGCCAGCCAAGGAAATCCATCCCTGTAAATCTGCTTTGGGAACCCAGGCGGTGTCCACAATTATTTTGTGCATATTAAATTCCTCACTAGACCTGCATGGTGCAACTGTTGCCGTGTGCCAATACAGGGGTGTCCGTGTGACTCACAACTCGGAGAAATTAATACAGCTTGCCTGAACAATTCATCTTCTTAACATGGAATCCCCAAAATTCAGAGCTCCTTAGTCCATTGCTTGAATATCACTGCGTCCTTGATCTAGGAAATTTCACCTACACGGTTAAAAAAAAGATAGATAGATTGGACCAAAATCAAAGATTGGATACAAGGAATTGCGGGATATCAAGTTGAACTCAGACCGGAACTCTATCTATTGGGGATAATCAAAGACCAATATCCGAAAAAGATAAAATACATAATCTTACATATTCTAACAGCAACTAGAATAGCTTATGCGCAAATGTGGAAAGGGCCTCATGTTCCAGCAGAAGAATTAATCTTACAAAAAATAACAGATTGTGCAGAAATGGATATGCTTACATTAAAAATGAAGGAAAAAGAAGAATCTGATTATTATTCAATTTGGCATAGATGGCACGAATGGTTAGAAAATAGAGACAAGGAATGAAAAGCGAAGATTACATAGAAGAATCCTTAAGAAAATGATATATAGATATGTAAAATAGATAAAGATTGATATTAATAACAAACATAAGTAAGGATAATTATTGGTGAGGTATATGAAAATATATGATAGAAAATATATGATAAAATTGTATGTTGATGCAAAATGCTGTTGAAAATGTAAATATGATTTGTACTGGTGGAAAACAATAAAAAATCATTTGCAAAAAAAAAAAAAAGGTAGGTAATATATCCTATCCATCCTGCTCCCCTCCCGGGTGAAGTTTGCCCCCACCTTTCAATCCTTCCTCAAGGACTTGGAGACCTGGCTCTGTATGTTGGCCTAGGGACTTTCAAGAGAAGGAAATCAGGACTCCAGGCGGTTTATCCGAATATGTAGTTTATTAAATGCTAAAGCTCTCTACAAGAATCTGAACTACTAAACGGTCAAAGCGAGTTGACAATAGATAAGAGTCAAGGGAATTTAAGGTGGGCTGGTCTTACAGCTCTTGTGGACGCAAAGGGACTTGAGACTGATGACGCATTTGACCCCTCCCTCGGGCTCAGCCTAGCCATCTCCTATACAGGGACCCAATAAGGGAGTACATCATTGGAGGTGGCTACTGGATTAATTAGCTGACCCCACATCAGCTCCCTGTGCTTTCTGCTCCCACTCCCACCCTCTTTTTAAAATTTCATATTATTGTGCTTCCATTGGTTGTTTTTATTATTTTATTCCTTTGCTATTGTTACATTTACATGAGCCACGGTGGTGCAGTGGTTAGAGTGCAGTACTGCAGGCTGCCTGCAATTTGGCAGGTCGAATCTCACCAGGCTCAAGGTTGACTCAGCCTTCCATCCTTCCGAGGTGGGTCAAATGAGGACCTGGATTGTTGGGGGCAAGAGGCTGACTCTGTAAAGCTGCTTAAGAGAGGGCTGTAAAAGCACCGTAAAGCAGTATATAAGTCTAAGTGCTATTGCTAAGTGCTATTTGTTGTCATTTCCCCCCACTTTATTGTCGTAAGCTGCTCAAAGTAGCCCCATGGCGAGAACAGGGGCAAATAAATCTAACAAATAAATAAATAAATAGCTGTCCTCCTGCAGCAAGACCAATATGCTGAGAGCAAAAGACTAAGCAAAAGTTGCCAAGGTTGGAGACCCCTGATCTACATGATCCACCAAATGTTAAAATCTAAAATTTTGGAGCAGTTGTTAAATGAACCAATGGGCGAGGTTTTTTCCGAAAACCGGAACTCAATGCTCTTTTTCGGCAAAAACATCGTAAAACACAGTCACATGACCACAGGATGCGGCAAATAGCCATTTGCCAGGTGTCTAAAGAGCGGTCACATGACTGGGGGAATGTCAATCATTGTAACCTGTAAATCCAGGCCATAAATATTCCCAGGGAAGTCCATCCTAAATTCAGGCAGTCGCTAAGCAACCATTCGTCAATCAAGGATTACCTTTATCTGGGGTACCCACATTGCAGCCCTGGTCAAAAGGGCCCAGCAGAGATTATACTACCTGAGACTTCTCAGGAAACAACAACTGAATGAAAAACTGCTGGTGACCTTCTACCACTGCACCATAGAGAGCATTTTAACATACTGCACCTCTGTATGGTTTGCCAATTGCACAGGGGTAGATAGGAAAGCACTCCAGAGGGTTAAAGTCATTGCCCAGAAGATCATTGGTTGCCTTCTCCCCTCTTTAGAAGAGCTTTATAACTCCCGCTGCCTTAAGAAAGTTCAAAACATTCTCAAAGATCCATCTCATCCTGGGAACCCCTTTTTTGAACTTTTACCATCTAGCAGATGGTACAGGATAATAAAAACAAGGACAAATAGGCTGAAAAACAGCTTCTATCCCAGGGCGGTAGCTCTTTTGAATTCTGCTGTATGGTGCGGTGTCAGGGGTTTCCAGTTCAATGGGTGAAGGTTGTGTGTTTGTGTTTATTTTCATGGTCATGGTCATGATGTGCACTGAAGATATGGTGTTTGATTTTGTTGTACGAGGTGCAATGACAATAAAGTAAAGTAAAAGTAAAGTATTTCAACTGTGCTTTGTTGAACAGGTGTTGTGGTTGGCTACCCTCCATTGCATTAAAGCTAGAAAGGCAGAGTTTACAAACCACAATACATACATCGTGCTAACTAAAATTGTGCAAAAATTACATTATATCACGATGCAGGTAATCAGCCAGTCCCTGCTGCCTTCCACTGGGCTCTGCGAGTGTATTTGCTTAGTCTCTAGAAATCTCTTCAGGATGTTTGTTCCCACTTGGCTTACTCTGAGCTCTAAAATCTGTATTTGTTTCTCTTAGCATTGCCACTTCTGTAGCAAGTCTTTCTCGTGTTTATATAGTTTTGTAGAGTGCCGTATTACGTTTTCTCAGAAAAACCACAGGCTGAAGGCATCGTTTCTGCCTGGCATCTCAATAGAGCAGTGTTTCTCAACGTATGAGGCAGGAAGGCCGGCTGGGGAAGAAGTCCATGCATCTTAAAGTCACCAAGGTTGAGAAATATCGGAACATGGGTCATCCTCGTCTTTACAATGGCTCATTTAGTGACCAAAGTTACAACGGCGCTGAAAAAAAGTGAACTCATGACCATTTTTCACACTTTTGCAGCATTTCCCACGACCATGTGATCGAAATTCAGACACTTGGCCACGGGTTCATACTTACGACCGTTGCTGGGCCCCACGGTCATGGGATTCCCCTTTTGCAACCAAGCAAAATCAAAGGGGAAACCGGTTTCACTTAACAACCGTGTGACTAACTTTATCGACTGCAGTGATTCACTTAGCAACTGTGGCAAGAAAGGTCATAAAATGGGGCAAAACTTACTTCACAAACGTCTCACTTAACAACAGAAATTTTGGGCTCAGTTGTGGTCGTAAGTTGAGGGCTACCTGTAGAGAGAAAAATAAGGGGCCCTTGTGCCTTTATAGTGCAGGATTGCTGATAGATAGCATGGACCTTTGAATGACTTTAAAATTGCCTTCATGCCCCTAGCATGTATGTAATGCGAGGCTATTTAATTTCTTGACTGCTATCTTTTTTTAATAGAACGGGAGGTGTCAGGATTCTGGCACTTACCCCATTTAAATCATGAGTCTCGAGCCAAACTTACAAAACTTCAAAGGATTTATTGGGAGTTAACATGTCCGGCACTTCCTGGGTGTAGCCAATAATTCATTGTCACCCTTGACCCTGCTTTCCCCTACCCCCTGGGTATATCATAATTTATATTCTCCAATGGGACACATCCATAGCCAAGAGTCATCAATCACGTTCTCCAGTTTTTTGCTGGGCAGAAATTTCAGTCACCTAATTACTATCTCTGAAAAACTATCTGGAATGCACTTTCAATTTCCAAGCTGCCTCACTGCTCTTTCAAACCCCTTCCCCTCCCCTGCCCTCCCTTTCTGTTGGCAACTTGAAAACGACCATAGAAATATTTTATGAATTGACAAGAGGCTTAGATTATGAAAGAATACACAATTATGAAAGAAAACATGATGAGACATCTTTGGATAAATGATGAGCCATGATGGCGCAGTGGTTAGAATGCAGTACTGCAGGCTACTTCTGACTGCCGGCTGCCTGCAATTTGGCAGGTCGAATCTCACCAGGCTCAAGGTTGACACAGCCTTCCATCCTTCTGAGGTGGGTAAAATGAGGACCCAGATTATTGGGGGCAAGATGCTGACTCTGTGAACTGCTTAGAGAGGGCTGTAAAGCACTGTAAAGCGATATATACGTCTAAGTGCTATTGCTATTTTGTTTGTACTGGCTAAACTGTAGCAGAGAATATCTCAGTATGATCTTTTGCCCTAAGCCTAAGGGATATTCGTTATGGTACCGAAAGAGAGGTAGCCATGATGAAATCTTTCATCTCCAAGCAGTTTCGGGGATGACACTGATTATTTCTGTCCATCTTTGCTTTGTACCTGGGCTTGGGGCAGCAAGCACCTTAATGAATAATCTGTGCAAAGGAGTAAATGGAGAAAATGTGTTCCTACTGGGTTTCTTGGATCTCTTAGTG